GTCAGCATTTACATGTAGATGTCGTTCAAAACGACCAAGTCTCTATGATAAAAAGCAAATTTCCTTACGCTGTGGTCCCTTTATCCAATTTAGCACAAAAAGCGTAAACCTGAAACGAGTATTATTTCTCGGCATCTAACATTGTTAGCTTGTAACCAGTGTGACAACGTTTTGGCCTTGTAAGTCAGTTTTAAACGTCTCAGTCCTGTTCAAAGCTCCGACCATTTCTTGTTTATTGAACATCCCCACAAGGAAAGATCATTAAGCCCAAATAGACTAAAGTACATCTCTCAGACCTTCCTAAATAGAAAACAATGAATTGCTCTTGTGGACACATTATATTGTTCATGTTTCTCAGATTCAAGTGTACCTTTATGAAGACGTTTTTCAGAAGGAGAGGGCTTTTCATCATGACAGATCACAGCAGCTTTCCTAGATAAATTCTGCTCATCTGCAGTGGGACCTTCAAAAAGAGTACACAAATGTGGCAATGAAATAATTCTTTACTTTTGACCCTCAAGGTCGGGAATAAGACGTCTAGAAAAAACAAAATCTACTTTCTTTAAAAAGTATCGCAATTTTGTTTACAACTCTCTGATATTGTTACATGAAAGTGGACTTCTTTGGTGGAGTTATTAAAAGAGGTGGAGAATTTATCTTGTTGAAGTGAGGTTCTCACTACAGTATGTTGCCCAGTATCCGGACGGTACCAGTATCCGGACACTTGAAACAAAAACTCAATTTTTGAGGCGCCCTTTTCAGTTCTCGGTAAACGAGGTATTTCGAATGAAAGCTGAACATTTCAGCTTTAAGATGAAAGTCATGGCGATTTGAAAGCTTGCGAAACAGTCGCAGAAGACGCCGTTCTGTTCAGGTGAGTAACCTTTTCATGGTTGATATTTACGCTGTTTACTGCGCAGTAAAATTAGTGCTGCTCAGAAAAGGGAGGGTAATGTGTGATATTTTCAAAGAAACCGTTTTATTTTTAAAGTGAAGATACTTAAGGAATTCAGGTTTTCAGAAAGTTTATTAATTCTTCTTGAAATTCGATTTATTTGGAATAACGGAGGCCAGAAACATTCACTAAGTTTTGATGTCATGTGCCCAGTATCCGGACAGTTTTTTCTTTGCTGTACAGAATCGATGAATTAGCTGTGTACATTATCCGCATAAGATTTATTTCATATCAGCAACTATAATTAAAGCTTAGGATATATGATATAGTCGTAAAATGTAATTCTACTCAACTCCGTATGAAAATTTTCTTTGATTTCGTGTGCACGGCTTGTTTCGCGTGACTGCATTTTCTATATATAACTGAAAGCGTCTGAGTTGAACCTGGAATTCTCATACTTTCCCCAGTTGTGACTGCTAGAATGGGGTTGAAACGGTTTGAAAGAAGGAGGAATTAGTGCTAGAAAAGCAGGCTTATTGTGGGGACTGAGCATGAAGAAATCAACACTGCAGGTCAGACTAAATAGGAGAGTGACCTTTGACCGTCGGGTTGAGGTCCCTTCCCCAAGCTTTTTTTTACGATGTAAATAAAAAATGAAGAAAGATAGTCGCTTGCAGATTGGCTAATTGAGCTTGCAAACTGCGGCTTCGGCATGTCCACGGATGCCTTCCTTAAATCAGTGAAAAAATTCCTGGACAAGGAAGTAAGAATTATACGATTTTTAAAACAGCCGCTCGCGTTCCCCACCATACCCCAGTTATTTGTTATGTTTTATTTCACGATGCTAGGTTATATTTTTGGAATCGATTGCCAGACTTCTTTGCAATTGCAAGAAGAAGCTTATAAGTCGCTTGCCTGTCGAAATTTATGTACAATTACGTTGTTATTGTTGTGTCCGGATACTGGGCAACATAGGAGCTCTGCAAAAATATTAATTTCGCGATGGAAACAAAGGCAAAAAAGTTATACTGTCTTTCGTCATATTAAGGACTAGATAGATTTTCTCTAGGCCGAATTTCAGAGCTCTTGCGATTAACAAAGGAAAGTTATTGCAATCTTAAACTGAAGTGTCCGGATACTGGGCAACATACTGTACTATTGTCATTGTAATTGCGTGAGCCTCAGTATATTTCCTACTGCAAGTAGTACAGATTATAACTGAAGACCAATATATATAACATTGTGAACCTGTTACCTTGACAAATGGTGAGCATTCGTTCCACAAGTCTATTACAGTGATCCTGCCCGCTGTATATCCCGGCATACTCTCCTTGAAGAACCTTCGCCTCTCTAAGTCTTAACTTTCGATCTTTCCCACGGACAGCTTTGATTGCATTGGCCCAATCTTTTGGATCTTCTGATTGTACCACACAACTTAAAGCAAAAGGAACTTTCTTCAAAGCTTCTCCAAGACCAGAGTTCCCACTGACCAGCACAGGCAGACCAGCTGATAAAGCCTCAAGGGCGGCCAGCCCGAATCCCTCAGTCCGTGATGGCAATATAGCAAGATCTACTTCACAAAACAACCGGGCTAACTGCTCTCTGCTTTCATTAAAACAACGTACAGTTAGTTGACTGCGATCAATGCCTTGATGGAGTAACAAATCTTTTACTTTCTCCTCTTCTCCACTTGGAGCTCCAACAAACAAGAGCTTATAGGGCTGTGGCTCGTCTTTCAACTCAGCAATAGCGCGAGCAGCGATGTCATATCCTTTCAGCTGAAAGTCTTCATTGTCACCACGTCCAAATACTAAAACACTGAATGTTTTTCTTTCTTCAGTAGCTTGCTTTACATCAGAAAACTCTGAGAAGATTCCTGGGGTAAGGTTGAGAACATCTTGATCTTTTCCACAGGCACGGAGATAACCTGAGAAAGCTTCAGCCAGCTTGGGACCAACTGCTACTACTTGATCAGCTTTTTCACAGAGTTTTACCTCAGCCTGGTGCTTTTTCTCACCTTTTGAAATAGCATCTGCGTAGGACTTGTACATACCAAGCTCTTCAGGAGCTGTATGAACGACCTGAATCCACTGGCACTTACATTGACGTTTTATACCCTGCACTTGCCGACCAAGAACAGCCCCATGTCCTATCACACAATCGACAGAATGGCTTTCAGGAAGAAAGGACAACCAGTCTACTGGGTTGTCATAACCTGGCATTTCTTCTGCTTCAATAAGATGTACATTGTGACTTGCAGCAACTCGTTTATCCTCTTCACTGCACTGAGGAAGATAAACACTGACATCCACTTTGGGGTGTTTTGCCAACTTAATGGCCAGCTCTCGGTTGATGGTTGACAAGCCTCTTTTTGTTGATCTCCATTCACTGCTTAACAGAGTTACCCTCAATTTCCTTGAGGAAGTGGATTCTGAATTGCTTTCATGGTCTTCCTGTGATGTAGAGGCTGTGCTAGGAAAAGACGACAATTCCTAAAAGAAGAGTGACATTAATTTTTTAAAGGGTTTATTAAAAAGCTAACCTGAGATCAGGCTCAATTTTAGCAGTTGTCATACATTCTCACTTACGTAGTACCGCTAAAATTCTCTTTTCGTTTCGCCTTGCCCACCGGAATGTTATTTACAAAGAGAAACGAAAACAGAGCCTGATCTCAGGTTATTTAAAATCATTTTTAATACAGTCTAAACTCTCCTTACGGACACCTCCATATTCCCTACCTCTATAATACGGACACCTCTGTAAAGCGTACACTTGGTTCTGTCCCTTTGATGTCCGTATTAAAGAGGTTTGACTGAAGTATGTTCTTGCAAACTTTAATTGAGCATTGTCTTCCACAGTTTTTCTGTCAGCGATTGCACTTGCAAAAACTGACTAGAAAAACATGCCGGACATTTTTTGAGTTTGGGCTACCTGTGGTGTCTCATGTATATATATTCTCGGTTTTCACATGACGTCATCAAAAATTCAAACTAAGAAACTATCGATTCTTCTGAGTTTCATGAGGTATTACAGCACCTAAACACCTTTATTTAAACAAAGTTTTGGTTCGAAAGGGTTCTTCATTTTGCGATAGAGGACGTTTAAATTTCTAGGCTTTTGCGTCACGCGGCATTTAGCTGGCGGCCGGGAAGGCTCTTATGTGGGTTAAAAACATTACCAATTTTAGGAGATTCTGCTATCTAAACATTCCTTGTCTCAGAATAAATATCACTTTAATCCTCTATGACTTTTTCAAGCGCTGAATTCACGCACTAGTAGGAAAACTCACAAACAGATGTTTCTGTTGGTTTCCGACAGCCATATTTGTGCCCCTCAAAGGGACACAAACATGGCGTCTCCATACAAAGCTTTATAAATTTGGGTAAAACGTTTTTCCGAATATCTCGCATATGAAATATCACACAGACCTGATTCTTGGCGAGGCCTTTTGCATATTTATCTTCTTTTATTTCCCAGATTCTGGACTTTCTGTATTGAATGGTTTGCAATTTTATTTTTGATTGCATGACAGCAAGTGTAAACACTTCATGTGGACTGGCCCAGAATGATTTATTCATATGATTGAAAGGCCGAGGACCTAAAATCTGGAATTCGTTGCCTGTTTCACTAATTAGCTCTCCTTCTATATTTGTTTTTAAAAAAATTTTAAAGAATTAAGAATTATCTAACTGACAGCCGATCTGTCGCTTAATATTCTGATCTTGCTCACTCTGCTCTCAGCCATGAATTTAGTTCACTAGGTAGTTGAAGGAAGCCTGTTAATATAAGCTTCAAGCTTCGTTAGGCTTTCTTGTCACATTAATTTTATAATTTAATTAACAACTTTTGTTCTTGTTGTATAAGGTTTTGTGAGTGACTAAATAAATAAATAAATAAATAAACTTACAAGGTGAAAGGTCAAAGATGATGTACGTTGCTAAGAGGGTTTCAACAGTGCAGTACGCATGTACCACACTATGAGGTGTGAACTACTGTACATGTAAGTGAACTTCCAATTTAATGATATGAAATGAATAAAATGATCACTTAATGAAAATGCTTTAATCGTTAATCAAATTCTCTTGACTACATGTAATTCTTTTAAAGTCTAATATCAAAATTCAAATTCTCATTTGTCGTCCCTATTTGTTTTCAATGGAAGTAGTGGGGAGAATTTGTTGAAGTATCAATTAGATTCATCTTGTGTGATCAGGTTCTCAATTCTCATGACCACTGTGTTTTATAAAGAAGTGATACTACAAGGAGAAATTTGAGGCTGATCACTCTTAGGGCTTCAAGGAATGCATTGAGATCAGTCTGGAGAATTTGTATGTGGATACTGGTGCTTAAAGGGTTGAAACAAGCCATTGAAGCCCACACAGCAACAGCTTATCTTGGTTTGAGTACTGTGAATTGCCAAGAACTATTCACAGCCCAACTTCCCCCACCCCTCCCTGGATGGGATACTAGTCCACCACAGCATTGCTCCCAATGGTATGTAGCCAATTTAAAAGAAAAAACTCAAAATTAAAGACCTGTGAGAAGAGAGGTAAAGGAAGAAATAGTTTCTTGACTAAGATCAAAACTCGAAAAAATTTATGTTGTTCGTAAAATCTATATTTAATTAGATTTTTATTAAGTCGGATAATGTTACCTTTTCACCAGATATTTAGAATTTAAAGCTCAGAAAGTAATACTATTCCAATTTTTTCTTTACCATTCTTTTTGCTTACATCTATGTTATCCCTTTGACGAAATTATTATATTTTTGAAAAACCTATGTATTTTTCTGTAATTCCCGATAATGCACACAATCTTTTGAGATCATGACACTAGTCATTCTGTTGTTTTCTACAAAATGATTTTTTGACATCATAGATCACGTTTCATCTACTTTTACATGTTACAGATCGTGCCTGTTGAATAAAAGGAGAAAACACAAAAAGACAGAAAAAATACTCACAATACTCAAAATACTGTCTTAAAATTTGTGCTTGGTAACGTACAAAAGGAATGTTTAAGAAGGAATCCACCAGGAGACTGAGCAATTTTAATTCTCAGTGGACAAAAAGCTTGTACCTGCAGAATAATTTTTAAAAGGCCTCGGGAAGAAAAAAATTCATTAAAAAATTATTATTCACTCGATCGTACTTAAACCAACGATTTTGTAACTAGGGCACATAAGGCTTTGTTCTGGCCAAGTTTGAGGCCAGGTCATATTTTGACTATTTCCTCGTCTTAAGTTCATGATTACGCGGAGCTGATCTTAACAATATTGCATTCTTTTTACATTTTTCAAGAGCTAAAGATGTAAGTGGTCATCTGTAATAACACCAAAGAAAATTTCTCATGGGATTCCAAGAAAATGAATGTCAAATTTCACAAGAATTGTGAAAACACAGGAAAAATTCTCAAAAATTTAATGTGTAAGATGTAATTTTGTGAAATTTGACATATTCATTTTCTCGGGCTCCCATGAGAAATTTTCTTTGGTGTTATCACAGAAGACTAATTACCTCTCTAACGCTTGAAAAATGTAAAAAAGAATGCAATATGCTTTAAATTATTCTGGTGCAGGATTTTTGTCCACTAAAAATTAAAATTACTCAATTTCCTGGTGGATTCCCTCTTTATTTAACCCACTGTAAGAATCACTGAGAATTTAGTATTGCTTTTGAACGATATTGTAGTGAAGTTGATCTTTAGTATGAAAACTTTAAACGGGTGCCAAGTACCAATTATTTTGAAAAACTGCCCTGAAAAGTGAGTAAACAGTGTAGATCTATCACGTACACAACTGAAATTAGTCCTGATGTCTTGACAATATGTAGTTATTAACAATTGCATTGTTTCTTTGTCTCCATATATCTAAAATGGTTCCCTTTGGAGTTTACAGAATGACACACGCACTCAGGAAGGGGGTGGGGTGGGGTAGGGGTTGGGAAACTTCCACGTTTGGCTTGCTCAGTATGTGCAGCTCTAGATGGTAGAGGTTTATGGGAATTCAATCTTAAAAAAAAGTATTCAATGTCACTATTTAGCATTTTAAACAGGGTAGCAATTTGAATCCATTTTGCTTTAAACAGGGTCAGAATCAAAGGGTTTTAGCAGCACAGACCCAACCAGACTTCCTTTAAACCACCCCCCCTGGAAAGTTTCTTCCCTTATGCATAAGGATAGCACTGTTATTACTTTGACGGTTTTTTCCGAGTTAAAACTCAAGAGATGGAACAGAGGGGGCTCAAATCAGACCTCCCCTGATCCAGAGTCTGACATGATTAACATCCCTCCACCAACATTCACAACCACAACTAGAACTAATTCTCACACCTCAAACCTTACAACTTGTTTACAAGATATTAAGAAAAATCAACCTTCACTTGACTAACACTATTAGCAAACAGATGACAAATTTTGCTTACCTCCATCAGCCTTGACATCACAGGAATCCTAAAAATCCTTCAACCCTGCAGACATGAACACTACAACAGGAACAGAGAAAGAAAGTCCACATTGTAAATAATGGTGCAATGCTGTAAACTACATGTACCATTTGACACTTTCTTTTTGTGGGAGTTTAATTAATTACACAATAATTTTGTGGATTTATGATTTTTGTAATTCACAACAACTAATAATGAAATTAGTTTTTGGACCTATCCCAATTATTATTATTGGGATTGGTCCAGTCTGGTTTTTCTCCTTCTGAATCTTAACAACTGCATCATATTTTTTATTTGAGTCAAAATACAGGTAAACCAACATTTGAAAATGTTGTAGGTAAAATCTGTTCTCAGGGTAAACCAGAATTTCATTCTCACCTACACACTGTACATCTGTATGATTAATACAGGCTAAGAAAGAAAGGAAATTCTGAACCAAACTAGGTTTAACCCATTCGCCCCTGAACCGCCTGTAACCACCTGTGCGGATCCACATCCTTTCTACCCTTTGTGACGTCATCAGTTTTAACGGTCAAGGACAACTTTGTCCACTAACTTGTGCAGAGTGAAGAGATCTTTCAAACCATACCAGAATGAGCACAATTCAGTCAAGGACACCAGAGAAAGAAGCAAAAAACCATGTGACATTGACCTGAAAATCTCCATGAAAATCTTGTTCCATTGCTCACTTTCACCTAATCCTAAGATCCTAAAAGCTTTCCTAAAAACTCTTCCCACCAAAACGAAGCCTACTAAATGCCCAGCAAGAGAAAAAAAAATGAGGCAAGAAAAGCGAAAAAAGAGGGGAGGAGAGAAAGCGAAAAGTAAAAGTCAAGTTTGCTGTGTCACTTTTAAACCCAAAAACTATCGCGAAATTTTGCTTTCTGCACATGCCCAAACTTCGCAAACTCATATTTGCATCTGGATCAGAAGGCCACGAAGTGTACGACCTGTAAACCGGTTTGAGGTAAGTTTTGGCTCCTTATAGCATAACAGTGACCAGAAAACCACTCGACTAGCTTCAAAACACGTTTTTCGGCAAAATCTCCAGGAGCGAATGGGTTAAAATAATATTATAGTTCTGGCCCTGGTTGTTCAAACACTGGATAGTGCTATGGATGAATCTCTAACCTGCGATATCGAGATTTATCAAGTGGATAGTGTTCAAATGCTGGATAGTGATATGGATGAATCTCTAACCAGCGATATAGAGATTTATCAAAAACCACCAAAATAAAAAGCCACAAGGTAAGATATGAAGAAAGTACTGCTAAGTGGGCTGGGACTTTAAGGGTAACTTTGCATTACAACTACATATAAACAATCTAATTCTTTATAAAGGTGTATTTTTCAAAAGAATAACATCTTTCTATCCCAACTTTATTAGCATTAATACTTTTTTCAAAAGAGTATTTATCCCATAAGTATGCTGACAGAAGAAGGGGAGTCCTGGACTCCACTGTCTGGAGGATACTGAGGTGTACATTCCCCAGGGGGGAGGGATAGACATCCTTCACTTATTTAGCCTAAACAGGCATGTTCTGCTGAACAGGGTAGGGTTTATGGGGGTCTTAGGTCCTAAACAATTTATAAAATTTCACTATTTAGCATCTTGAACAGGGTGTCTAGAGCTTTAAACAGGGTGTGAATATTTGGTGATCCACAGTTTACAAGTGTGATTCCATCATTATTATTTTAATCTAATCTCATGATGCCAGTTTAAGGAAATGTATCAGGGACATGAAATGAGTTTTCTTATCTTAAACAGGGTGGCCAGTGAAGAGAACGGTTTTTTGTTTAAATAGGATGAAGGTCTGAAGGCCTTTTGGCACTAAACCCCTACCCAAACTTCCCTTCAGTGTTCCCCCGCCCCCATCCCCGCCACCCCAGGGAATTTTAATACCATAAGACTAAACATTTCTTCTGCAGTAAAAAAATTCTGATTGTGACAAAATTATCAAATAATTCAAAACAACTTACCAAAGCTTGGTACATGGATCATTGACCTCTGAAACCCACACATCATGAAATTTGAACTGATTGGTAGCAGGAACCTTCATAATAAAATCAAGGGCAATGCATCAAGACAAAGAGCAGTTCACTTAGTTACATATAATATTATTATTATAATTATTGCTTTTATAGAACCGGTGCTGCTGCACTGCTTTGCTGATGGTACTGTTACTCACCAGTCAATAAACCTCCCCCCTCCCCCCACACTCAGCCAAGATATCCATGTACTGTAGCAGGGCATTTGACTGGTAGTCTTTGCAAATGTGACTCCAGGATTTCAAAGAGGAAAAGTAATAAACCTTTTTCCATTTGTATTTGTAACACCTTCTTTAAGTTACTTCAATTCTATGATGGTTTGTAGCTTCATGCTTGTATCATGTACAGTGTACAGGACTTTGATATTCACATTGCCACATTTTAGGTAATTACTGTATTTCCTAGAATAAACTCACGCTCTAATAACCGGCCTCCTCCAAAAAGGTGCCCTCCTCATAGGCCATACTTGTACATATAAAATATCAAACAAGCGCCCCTTGTGAATGAGCTCCCCCTCCCCCAGGGCTGGGGATACTCTGGATTTCAAGTGACAGGGATGATCGAATGGGGGCAAAAATCAAAACCCAAAAAACTCCTTAGGGCTTCCAACAAAACCTCCAAAAAATTCCTGGACCAAAAATTAACCCCAAAAAATCCCATGCCAAATTTCTAAGCCTTAAAATTTGCAGAAGGCTTTAAATGATATAACTCGAAAAATATGAACAATAGAAATTGAATGTTTGTGTTTGTTTATTCATCATACCATCTGAATCTTCAGATTGTTTTGAATACCCAAAAAATCCCTTCTTAAATCAAGCCCCAAGAAAAAATGCTCGCCAATTTTTTCTACCCAAAAAAATTGCGGAGTCTAAAATGTCCAAACCTCAAAAAATCCTTCGATCATCCCTGTCACTTGAAATCTGGATTACCCCTCTGGGCCCCTCCCCACCCCTTCACTTTCTTAAATAGTTAGTATAGGATACAAGGAAAACATGTTTCTATTTCCACTTAATTGATGAGAGAAACAATATTTCATGATAATAATGAGATCAAAAATAAGTAAACCAATCCATGTACACATGTTAAGTGTGTAATGGGGCTATGGTACACTTAATTACCAACCACTCTTTCAACAGATGAAAGGCAATAGTGTTGGCTTAACGTTTACATAATTTGCTTTTCTATTAAAAATTTAGCTAAAATAAAGCTACAATTCATTGAAAAGAAAACTTAATACGCGACCTTCTCCCAATAAGTGCCCGTCTCCTTTTAGCGGAAATTTGTAACAAGAGCCCAGGCGCTTATATATAAGAGGAAAACAGTAATATAATTATAAGAAACTCACAACCTGAGTTTGACGTCTGGCATCTGCCGTAAACGTGATTGTAAATCTCTTCAATGTCTGGCCACATCGAAGGGCTAAATGATAATGACCGTTTTAAATAAGGTGTCAGAAAACTTAGAAGCTGTAAAATGCATGGCTGGTTCTGCTGTAATTTACAATGCAAGACGCATTTCAATTCTTCAAAGTCACGCGATGTGTCTCGTGTACTCGACTGCAGAAAGATCACTGTTTGCACATGCCCTAGGGCCTAATAGAAAAACTTATAAGCTGCAGTTCTCTTTTCGAATGTAAAAACAACGGAGAGGCCTTGTGAATTTACAGGAAGAAAGTTAGATTATAAATTCAATAAGCTTACGCTTAATGCTTACCTAAACTTCAGGAATCTTGCAACGAAAATGCAGCCACGTGGAGGCCATCTTTGCTTCCATATCGTCACAGTTAGGCATATGGAACGCTTGGTGAGAAGATTGAATCAGCCCATGACTGCAAGACTGATGAAAACGGTTAGAAGTTTGAAAGTTCCTCACGAAATTGTACAGATTCTCTTCCCTGAAGAGCTTCCGCCTCGGCTCCCTTATAAAACTACGTAAGAAGCATGAAGCGATGGTTTCATTGGTCAAACGCTGTCACATGATGTGTCACGTGAAAAGTTACCAGGGTGGAATAAAAGAAGAGCGGACAGAGGACTTGGATGCGGAGAAAATGGAACAATTTGTTTACATTCTAATGTGATGCGTATAGGTGAAGAAGACACAACAAAACGCAAAAAAGTGACAATAACAAGCAGCAAAAAAGAAAAAAAACAAAACAGAAAAACAAAGGAAACAAACAAAAGAAAGCAGCGGACCTTCATGTCAGCCTACTTCTCGCTGGGTGCCTCAGTAGAATCCAGGATAATACAGAGCCAGGAGCCTAAGAGCGCGGGCGAAAAAATGACGAGGAAAAAAAAAGGAGAGGAAATCTCCCCTCGTTTTCCCCGTGTACGCTTTTTAAAACACGCTCCGGTCCCCACAATCTGAACTCCGCGCTCTCGTTCATCGTCCCTCTTTGACCGAAACCGCACGGAAACGCTTGCTACGGAGGCTAAGAAGACCGTTTAAGAACAGGCTAGCTCCGGGGTAAGAGGCAGTCCCGATAGAACTAACCTTAAAATTAAAAAAAGGCCAAGAACAAAGATGTCACTAAAAGAAGGGTTACAAGGTCTTATAATGGACAATACAAACTTCTGCAGCTGTCAGGATTTGGCATCCACGAATAATTCTTTATTNGAGCGGACAGAGGACTTGGATGCGGAGAAAATGGAACAATTTGTTTACATTCTAATGTGATGCGTATAGGTGAAGAAGACACAACAAAACGCAAAAAAGTGACAATAACAAGCAGCAAAAAAGAAAAAAAACAAAACAGAAAAACAAAGGAAACAAACAAAAGAAAGCAGCGGACCTTCATGTCAGCCTACTTCTCGCTGGGTGCCTCAGTAGAATCCAGGATAATACAGAGCCAGGAGCCTAAGAGCGCGGGCGAAAAAATGACGAGGAAAAAAAAAGGAGAGGAAATCTCCCCTCGTTTTCCCCGTGTACGCTTTTTAAAACACGCTCCGGTCCCCACAATCTGAACTCCGCGCTCTCGTTCATCGTCCCTCTTTGACCGAAACCGCACGGAAACGCTTGCTACGGAGGCTAAGAAGACCGTTTAAGAACAGGCTAGCTCCGGGGTAAGAGGCAGTCCCGATAGAACTAACCTTAAAATTAAAAAAAGGCCAAGAACAAAGATGTCACTAAAAGAAGGGTTACAAGGTCTTATAATGGACAATACAAACTTCTGCAGCTGTCAGGATTTGGCATCCACGAATAATTCTTTATTCCACAATTACCTTTCTGCTTAAGCTTTACTAACATAAGCGAGGCTTTTTTAAGTGTTTTTTTCGAGCATGGGTGATTAGATGCTATGAATGGATTTGGAATAAAGGAATAAGCCAATGTCGTCTGCGCATCGAGTATCAGTAAACAGTAGAGGAACAAGGACAAAGCCTTGTGAGTACTGATGACAGAAAGCGAGAGGCGAGGTTTTAGTCCTACTGACACAAGAGAGGGTTTTTGATTGTTTTTTGTTTTTCGAACATGGGTGTAGTGAGGGTGATGAAAGAAATAAAGTTGTCGTGTTGCAAATGCCTCTTTGAGTTTTTTACCATAGTGGCAAATGATGAAAAAGGACACCCACTCGTCCCTTTTGATATCCTTTTTCACACCCACAATGACATCTAGAACTCACAAACGGGACGAGGCTCTATTCGCCATTTGTACATCTCCCATAATACACCTTGTTTGCCCCCCAAACATTTTGTATCCGCATTGTCTTCAGTTTTTCTTAAGGTGACTATAATACCCAGGAGAAATTAAAAACAAAAGTTTTGCAAAATTTTGGGGGACAAACAAGGTGTATTACAAGAGATGTGCAAATGGCGAATGCTGTTTTCGAAAAGCGGAGTCTTTATTTACGCTTTTACTAAATAGACCGCATTCGTATTGTTAATAGGTGACTGCAACTAGCATGCAACAGAGGCTAATGTGTGGTAATTAGATGAATGAGCCTCGATTGTAAGCTAATTCCAGTCAATTACCGCGACTAATGATTTCGCAGGTGTAACCTGAATTGGGCCTAGTCCAAACGTCTAACTTTTCATGAGACGAACCAAACTATAATTTAGGTCAAGCTAAAATAAGTTAAGATCGTCTGTTGGGCCAAACGTCGAACTTAGGACGCGTCGAACAGATCAAAACGCAATTTAATAACTTTTCTCCCAAACGAGGCTAAATATACATTATCATAGAACTTTTTCATTTACTTGTTTAGCTCGTTGCGTGTGAAGGTTTTCGGATCTCGCGGAGACGATCTTCACACGTTCTATCCGTGCCAAGCAGACGGATACAACGTGTTGGATGATCCAAATTCATTCAGACAAACTTAACTGAGCCAGACCTGGAACATTTCATGAACTTAACTCACTAAGTTTGTTTTGTCTCATTCTTAGACACGGTATGGGATTACCCTAAGTTTCAAGGTTTCAGTGTGAACGATTGTGATAACTAATGGATTGATTAAATTTTGTAAGAAGATTAAGGAAAGTACTTCTCATGCCAAATGCAGCTCCCTCTTCGTAGTCGCAGGATGGTAAAAACCGTCTGCAAATGTCACTTCAGCTCCTAATAGGTCCTAATATAAGAGATTGATTCTGAAAGAGATTGATCGTCAGAGCAAGTCTAGAAGACACGATTTCTT